CATTTCTCTCATTCTATGCTAGGTTTTTATCTGCTTGACTCAGCACAAAAACTCAGTAAAAATGTTTTTAAGGGGCTGCAGATATTGCTCAGTGGTTAAGAGTCCTGGCTGCTCTTGCAGAGGACCTGGATTTAATTTCCAGCACCCACATAATGGTTAACAGCCATCTGTAACTCCAGTTCCAAGGGATTTGACACCCCCTTCTGGCCTCTGAAGGCACTGAATGATACAGGTGCAGTTATACACATGCAGGCACAACACTCATACACACAAAATAAAAATAAATTATAATTTTTAAAATTTTTTAAATAATCTCAAACTTCACTTGTAAACACAAAACCCAGGATAGCCAAAATAATCCTGAACAATAAAAGATATGATGGAGTTATCATCATTCCTGATTTCAAATCATACTACAGAGCTACAGCAATAAAAACAGTATGGTATTGGCATAAAAATAAGTACCATTGATCTATAAATTAGAAATGATGAACCATATATAAATATACACACTCTAGCTACTTGGTTTTGACAAAGGAGTCATAAATATACAATGGAGAAAATGCTGCATGTTCAACAAATGGTGCTGGTCAAAATGGTTAGCCACATGTAGAAGAAAGAAACTATGTTGCTTTCTCTCATGAAAAAACTTCAACTCCAAATGCATAAAAATAACTTGAGACATGATACCCTGAATCTGATTGAGGATTAAGTAGGGAATACACTGGAATTTATAGACACAGAAAAGACCTTTCTGAACAGGATTTCTATATAATTGACAAATTGAACTTCATGAAACTTAAAAACTTCTGCATAGCATAGGACACCATAATTTGAGTGAAAAGGAAATCTACAGCTTGGGAAAATTCTGTACCAGCTGTACACATGACAGAGGGTTATTATCTGGGATGTGCAATGAACTCAAAAACTAAATATCAAAAAACCCAATTAACAACTGGGGCAAGACACTCACAAAGTTTTAGAGAATAAGAGACTACAGGGTGCATGTCCTTGAATAAGATGTCAATATTAATCCTCATCCACACATGGTTCAGGGGACATAGTAGAAGGGGATGGAAAGATTGTAAGAGCTGGGGTTGATGCATGGAAACATAAGCTTTCAGGCCTCTGGGAACTTGCTCATATGAAATTGCATCAATGATAACAGCATGCACAAGACCCACACCAACTCAATCAGACAAAAACCTGGTATAGAACTGGGGAAATTGACAGCAGGCCCCAACAGTAGAAACTGACAACTGCTGGGTGAGGGAGAGTAGATATTCTCTAAGGAAGTGATTCTAGAGAGGTTGACTAGACTCCAGTGGATGAACATGTTTCACCAAGGGACATTCAGATACAAATGTTTGATAAGATAGGACTTGAATCATATGGCAGAATGCACGAAATCTGGTGAGGAGGCCATGGGGGGACTCATATGGTGAAGGAGGTCTAAATTTGATTAAGACATATTGTATGAAATGTAAAAAACTCAGTAAAAATATTTAAAAAACTAAAAAAAGAACTGGAGCAAGGAACTACAAGAGAATGTTCTTAAATGATAAAACACAAGTGGCTGAGAAATATTTTAAATGTTCGACATTTAGCTATCAGTCAAATGAAAATTAAAACCATTTTGAGATTGCATCTTACCCAGTCAGGATGGATTAGATTCAAAAGACAACAATGCTGATGAGCATGTGGGGAAAGGGGAACTCATATCCACTGTTGGAGACATGCAAACTGGTGCAGCCATTATAGAAATAAATATGGAGAGTCCTCAAAAGGCTAAAATAGATCTCCCACATGATCCAGCCATACTGCTTTCGGGCATATATCCAAATGACTCTATATCCTACTATAGAGATATCCGTTCATCCATGTTCATTGCTGCTTTTTTCACAATAGCCAGGAAATGGAAGCTTCCTAGATGTCCCTTAGATTACAAGTATGCTATATTTGCACAGTGAAATATTATTTAACTGTTAAGAAAAATGATATTAGCCAATGATGGTGTACACCTTTAATCCCTGCATTTGAAAGGCAGAGTAGGTGGATCTCTGTAAGAGATCCAGGCCAGTCTTGTATACATAGTGAGTTCAAGACCAGCTTGGGCTATACAGAGATGCTGTCTTGGAAAAACAAAACAAAACAAAACATGAATAAACAAAGAAAAATGAAAGTATGAAATTCACAGGTCAATGTATGGAACTGGAAAAATCATCCTGAGTGAGGTAACCTAGATCCAGAAAGAAAGATGTTGCATGTTCTCTCTCATAATTGAATGCTAACTTTGAAACTTTAGATAGGTCTGCTTCAGGTAAAAATCCTTAGAATCAGGAAACTAATAATGTGTCATGGGAGGTTGTCTATGCGAGGGGAGGCAGAATGCAGTGATGTAAATGGGAAAGGGAACAACAGATTACAGATTTAATGGGGTAAGGGATGACAAGGTAAGGCAGAGAGGGAGTAAGAGGATGGACAGCTAACTCTTAAGGAAAGAATCTAAGGGAATGATGCTAGATAGGCAGAACTGGTTCCAGTGGATGAACTCACATGAAGAGACATCTAGGCATACAACCTTGACTCAATAGGCCTTAATATATATGACAAAATGCATGAAATCTTGTGGGCAGGCTATAGGGGGTACAGATAGGGGAGGATTTCTAAATATGATTAAGACATGTTGTATAAAATGCACAAAAATTCAATAAAATACACATTGAATTAAAAAATGAGTCATGTGGAAACTTATAGAAGCTTCTTTCACTATATACATATAAAACGTAAAAAGAGCTAAAATGCAGTTAGCCCATAACAAGGATTCAGTGGCCTTAAGAGATACCACAGGTTTCCAAATGAAAAGCCCAATGTCAGGATGGACTCCCTATTTCAGGAGGTTTGAGGAACCTCCACATTGTCATGGTTCGAGTAGGAGTTCCTACTGAACTGCAACCTATACACTCTTGGACCAGGGAGAGTCAAGCAGGATCCAATTGGCAGTTTCAAATTCATGGTCCCACAGACATCCCTGGCTGAACCCAAGAGGTTCATAAAACAAAACTAAAAACATTAAGAGAGAGAAAGGGACTTGTAGGGAAGAGTGGGGGAGTCAACAGTGTTGTGAGGGGGATAAAAAGAACGGGATGAGAGTAACAAAATGCATTATAAACATGTATGAAACTGCTAAAGAACATATTTAATAAATATAAACTTCTTCTAAACCATCAATCTCCTCCCCCCGGGGAAAAAATAAACAAGAAAAACTGCAAATTAAGAAGATGATAACAGGTAGCTTGAAGCTGACTTCCTCCTGAGAACCCCAAAGTGACTGGTCCAAAATATAATGGAAAGGTGCAATGCTTGCCCTGGTATAGGAAAACAGCAAATGTAAACACCAGATGTGTGTGAACAAGGCACAGTCTCATGGACGCACAGGATTATCCAAGGAAAGAATGGTAGGGTGCTGGGCTGGAGAGATGGCTCAGCACTTAAGGGCCCTGGCTGCTCTTGAAGAGGACCTGGATTCGGGTCCCAGCGCCCACATGGTGGCTAACAACAGTCCATAACTCCAGTACTATGGGATCCAACACCCTCTTCTGGCCAACATGGGCATTCCATGACATGTGCTCTTACAAACCTGCAAACGCTGCACTCATAAAAAAAGTAAATAAACATGACAAAATAAAAAAAAATTTGTGGGGTACTGGAGGATAAAAAAAACCAACCAAGATGCAAATGCTAGTGCAAAACACCTTCCTATTTCCATTTCTGAACTTTATTAGGGACATAAATGATGTAAACAAGAATGTTTTACTGAATGGTAGTGCTGTGGCTGCTATCAAATCATTGCTTCTGTTATTACAGCTGTCTTTCCCCTAAATAATAGGGCAGAAAACAATGCCCAAAGTCAGTTATAGGAGCACTATGGCTTTATGCTCTGTATGAGAATCATGGGATGCTTTTGAAATCTAAGAATTTAGAATATGATTCTAAAATCATATACATTTGAGGTTTACTATCAAAGCACTTGGATGCCTTTTCCTGAGCTGTGAACAAATACTTATTCAACCCAAACAGAACCTCAAAGGCAGACCATCCTGGTCTACCTTGCTGAACCAAGGTGTTTATTGGTCAATGTTTGCTGGAATATAAGGGACTCTCTGATAGCTATATCCCTGGAAAACTGCTTCCAAGCAACAGTGACTATTTGAGAAAAACAAGCTGGAACTCCCTGAGCAACTTGTATGGAGCTTAATTTGGCAGTCTTCTGTCCAGAAGTTGTTTACTGTTTCTCCAACTGTGGGCCCTGGCCTTTGAGAATTTTGTCACTTTCTGAGCTTCCTGAACCTGATAAATTTCATTGATATCCTGGAGTCTTTGTCTCTGAGCTTTGGAAGTTTTGTTACTTCCAGAGTCTTAGAAACTCCTTCCTCCCTCAAGGAGGGACTCTTTTTTTTTTTTTTTTTTTTTTTAGAACAGGCCTCCCTTTTTAACCAGGTTTTTCCTGAGAACCACTGGGTGGCCTTTTTTTTTTTTTTTTTTTTTTTTTTGAGACAAGGTCTCACTATGTAGCCAGAGCTTGCCTGGAAGCACTGTGTGTACCAACCCAGGCTACCCTCCGTTTTATAGAGATCCACCTGTCTCTGCCTTCCAAGTGCTATAATTAAAGGCTTATCCCACCACCCCAGGCTCAAGAAGTCAATGTTTTAATTCAGGCAAAATGATCACACAGCACTTTGTACCTGCAGCATAGTACAATGTGAAATTCTGTAGTATCTAGGATCGAAATCTTGATTTTTAATTTTTAAAATGTCTTTTTTTCTGTGATAAATTATCCCAAAGAGCTCTACCCTATTTATAACCCTAAAACATAAATATAGGAGATTTCATATGTGAAATCTGTTTACTTGTTCACAGAAATTTAACTCAAGAGATAGTTATAAACAGATTATTTGTAACAATAAATCTTGTTCACCTGGTTTACAAACATTTTACGATTAATTTGCTAAGTGCAGTGAAAGTTTTGCTTTATCAATAACCTTCTTGACTTCACTCTTAACCTCCTTGTTCCTTAGACTGTAGACCAGAGGGTTTAGCATGGGGATGACCATGGTATAGAACACAGATGCCAGTTTGTCAGTGTCCATGGAGTGCCTGGAGCTGGGCTGCAGGTACATGAAGATGATCGTCCCATAGAAGATGGAGATGGTGGTGAGGTGTGATGCACAGGTGGAGAAAGCCTTCTTCCGGCCCTCAGCAGAACGCATCCTCAGAATAGCGATGAAAATAAAGAGATAAGAGTTCAAGATAACCAGCATAGTCAAAGAAACATTGAAAGATGCCAACACGAATAGCACAATTTCACTTGTAAAGATATCAGAACAGGAAAGAGCCAGCAGTGTGGGAACATCACAGAAAAAGTGATTAATCACATTGGAATGACAGAAGGAGAGGTGGAAAGTGAAGGCAACAAGGACAGAGGATTGTAAGAGTCCACTGATATAGGAGCCAACAACGAGCAAGACACATACTGCAGCTGTCATGGCAGTGGTGTAATGCAGGGGTTTACACACTGCTGCATGCCTGTCCAAGGCCATTGATGCCAGGAGGAAGCTTTCCGTAGTTGCAAAGGCTATAAAGAAGAACATCTGAGCAGCACACTCATTGTAGGATATGGTTTTATCTCCTGTGAGAAACCCTTCCATTACCTTGGGAGTGACAGCTGAGGCATAGACAAAGTCTGCTAGGGAGAGGTTACTGAGGAAAAAGTACATGGGAGTGTGGAGTCTGGGGTCCAGAAGAATCAACATGATCATCCCAAGGTTCCCAACCAGTGTGATGAGGTAAATGAGAGAGAAGATTATAAACAGAGGCACTTGCAGCTCAATGGTATCTGTTAACCCCACAAGAAGAAATTCTGTCACCTCTGAAGTATTCTCCATCAAACTCGTTCAGGCACCTAGGATGAGATGAGGAAATGAAAAATTATGCTAGTTGAACACCTCCATGAAAATTGAAGTATGACCAAGTTCTCCTGGTCATGCTCCTCCTGTCCAGTGTAAAAACCTGCCCCGAATGCTGATCAGGAGCAGGCTGCATGAGATCGTTTATCCAGGAAAGGTACAAAAATGGGCACTGGAGCCACTTTGCTTCCACTGGTGGTCCCTGTGTTCATTTCAGTTTTCCTGGCATATTATTTCATTCATTTCAGCAACACATACAGGGCTGTAGCCCCAAGGCCTGATTTTAAAAAATATTTTATTTATTATTATTTGTCTGCATGTGTTTAAGTGCACCCATGTCCTGCCAGAGCTGCGAAGGTCAGAGGAGGATTTCAGATTCCCTGGAACTCCAGTTACAAATGGTTGTTAGCTGCCGTGTAGGTGCTGGGAATTGAACTCGAGTATTCTACAGGAGAAACCAGTGAACTTAACCACTAAACAATCCCTCTAGCCCCAGGGTTGTATTTTATACTGTATGCAATATTATACAGACTCACTTGCCTAAACTTTGCATCAAAACTTAGCAGAAAGTACAGAAAAGGAACCAGTTTGCTACATGTCAATGACAAAGCCCATTCAATACACTTCCCATCTCTGATTGTTGTACCATGTTCCACATATTAGCTCTAGCTATGCAATGTTTTGGGGGTACTGTTCTAGGGTTGCTTAAAGTTTTCATTCTAATTTATAAATTAAATTTGTAATTTTTAAAATCTTGGACCAGTTGGATAACTGAACAATGTATGAGTTAAGTTTTAATTCATATCTGGCTATATTTCAGCATGTATAAAGCTAATGAGAGAGTATTTCTTTCTTTTTTATTGAATTTTGTGCTTTTCATACAATATAATTTAATGGTATTTAGATTCTCTCCCCTGTCCCCACTTCCCCTTATTGACCCTGGCCCAATTTAATGTACTCTATTATCTATGTTTACATCAACATAGATATAATAAAGCCTATAGAGTCTAATTTATGTCCCCAAATGTCCTTCAGTGTGGATCTATCCACTGAAGACTGGTTAACCTCCCAAGAGTCCCATACTTGAAAGACACTGTCTCTGTCCCTCCCAACAGACATCTTCTGCCACAAGTTCCTTAGGTGGAGTTAGAGCTTCTCACCCACTGCCTTATGTCTATGCTGGGATTTTTATGGTTTTATGTTTCATGTGAGTGTTTTAAATGTAGGAACAAAGTTTTAGGTGCTTTCTTCTCATGTCATGATCCTCATTTTTCACCGATATTTTCTGTTTCACTGATATTTTCTATTTCCTGCCATTTCACAAGCATGTACATTATTTGTGTTTGGGGAGACTAGGGCAAATCAAAAATTTGCTCTTGCTCTCCCTACAGATTCTGTGCCCTCAACCAAGCTGTATTTCACAGTGTACTTACCTGTACTTACTTCCATGGTGGAGCAGGTAACAGCTGACTGCGCAGCAACTGCTATAGTATAAGAGGAACTCTCAACTTGAAAAACACTTTTGACTGTCTTGGGCATACTCATTTCTCTATATTAGTAATCCCTTATATTCAAGGTGAGCGATGATGCAGCCCCATTTTAAAAGTAGCCAAGGTGAAAACTACCCTTTCTTTCCCTATAGACTTTACCTCCACTTACATGACCAAGAATATGTGAACTCTTGCAAATTATAAAACATAGTAAAATCAAGTAATCAGACATTTCTTTCCATGCCCTACCTCAACTTTTCCTGAATTCTTCAGTATTCAGTTCACAGCATTAGTGTCTAACTATTGATGTTCTGAAGGAGAGTGATTTAATATTTGACATAGTCAAATGAATGTTGAAAGTCATACAAGTCTCTGAATTTTAAAAAGTAGTTTTAATCTGTGTACTTCTAATTCTATAGAGAATTCTAATGATAAGAAAGATTGCCACATCTCACAACTCTCACCAAAGAAACTTCTTTTTGCAACAGATTATTTACACAGAGACCCACTGCTGTTCCATGTGCAGAGAAAAGGACTGCAAACTGTTCAGCCCTAAGTGGGAAACCTATATCCTAGCCTTTCCCCCTAAGACTCAGGGATCATTGTGTAAAAGAGGCTGGAAAGATTGAAAGTGTCATTGATGGTAGATAAATACAAGGAAACCATTTTGTCTGGACACCACAGGGCAGTTGCACATTTGAAACCCAAGTGTTTGTGACAGCATGCACAAGATTTGTGCAAGCCCAAACCAGACAGAACCCAGCATGGATAGGGGAGGTGGGTAAGAAGTCTCAATGCTAACTGAGGAACTGTTGGCAATTGAGATGGGAGAGTCGCTTTTCTTTAGAGGTGTGACACCTGGCAGATTGATGAGACACCAAGGGATAGACTCATTCCTGAGAGCATTTGGGGAACATAGATTAGACTAGATAGGACTTTAGCAAAAGAAAGTAATAACAGAGGCCATGGAGTTGGGAAAGTACAACAGAGTGGGGTGAATATGAGGGAGGGGGTCCTAATGTGACTAAAATACTTTGTGGTGAATTCTCAAAGAATAAATAAAAATATTTTTAAAAGAAAATTAAGAACATGGTTCTCCCTATAGGGTAGAACCATCACCACAGCATCCGATGGTCCTTAGTGTGGAAATCTGGATGCTCTGGAGCAGCATAGTACTGAGGAGAGCAGCGAGACTGGAATGAGAGGATGGTTGGTAATTGTGCATCTGTGGCTTAGCTGTTGAAGCTTCCTAGGCCTTAATTTCACTCCTTGTTGACCTTACAAAATAAAAATGGTTGCACATTCTATTGCAGTTTACAAGTATTGCTGGCTATAGTTACATGTTTTAGTACTTACTGTCATCCTAGTAACAGACAAAGGGGTAAATGGAGGAGTGTGAGATGGTTCATGTCCAGAGCATGGACTCACCATCCACATCCAGGAAAGCATCTTGCTGTTCTCCTCACCGCCTGTGGATCTCTGTTGTGAAAGGAATGCTGCCTGTGCTCTTGCCAATATCAAGGCAGAGATGGCGAGGTTGCACATGTCTCAGGGGAAGCAGTGCACTGGAGTGGCTGTCTCTAGAGGCTGGTGATCCCCGCTGGCCCTTTCACCTGACCTTGATAGATAGAGCAGGCGTAGTGTTTCCATTTTTGTCTGATAGCACTTGTGAGGACATTGGGGAATAGAAACTTAGAAGGCAGAAACTCCAGCCATCAGTCACATCAGGTGTACCACAGCCAGGTCAGGCAGCAACATTTAAAAATCCTCATTAAAATCTCTACTTAGGGCAATTGCATAACTATATATAAACTTTTTAATATTAAGATATTTCTCAAGAGCCATGGGATGGCCCTAGGACATTTTATTCTCCTATATTATTTTTTCTAAACAGATGTTCATTCATGTTACTAATATGTACCTGGTTTAGGTTCATTTTTCCCTCTTTTATTTAAACATTTTTTCAACATGCAAAATTGTATGTGTATGGAGTACAATGTAATGATATTCTTCATGTATATTGTATAGAAACTTTCATGTAAATTAAAATAATTTGCATATCCCTCATCGTAAACATTTATTTAGTTAGTTATGAGAACACTCAAGATCTATCTCCTAGTTATTTAAGTGATTCAGTATGGCATTTATATCTATTAGCCTTCCTACTTTGTAATAAGGTTGCAATTACAGAATAGTGACCATTTATTTTTTCCTTATAAAATTAAAGGATTGGATCACTTTGGTTTTTTTTTTCTGATGTTAAGTTCCAAAGTGGAAATATATCCCTTATCAATGGAATTGAAGGAGAATATAAGATACTTAGTTCTAAATTAGGCAGATAGTGAAGGAGGCCCCAGACTAGATTCAGCTATGTTCAAATTACTTAAAATTCCATTCTAGATGGCCTACTTCCAGGTTCTTATCCAAAGTTAGCTCTTTTGGTAGGCTCCCTCTGGCAGAGTTTCAAACTTCCTGCCCTTGCTCTACCCAATCAGGTTCCTGCTATCATATGAGTGAGCCAACTAACGACATAATCCTACCCTGTCCAATTAAATGAGAAAAAGGCGAACCCAGTCCTGTCCCACCTCCTACCCTATAAAATATAAAAATCCAGATTCTCCAGGGGGTGTACCCTGGTCTAGTTCTGGACATTCTCCCCTGTGGGGAATCTGTCTCTTTGTTGCTGTGTGGAATGCTTTTTGTGCTTCCATAAAACCTTGGCTGTCTGCTGTGACTGCAGACTTCTCCTTTTTGTAGTTCTTTACCTGGTGAAGAAATGTACCAGAGAAAATAGAGGCATCAGAGTGAAGTATAGTTGGACCTTTGAGATGTGTGGGCAGGTTGCCTAATTTCAAATCCAATTAGTGCCACCTGTTACTATGTGCCCTTCCCCAAGATATTTATATCTATGAATTTGAGGGTAAAAATTATGAACAATAAAAATGATGTATAGCTCTCTTAGGAGAACCCTGATGAAATGAGACATATGCATGGAGCTGAAAATGATGTGTAGCCTATAGCCAAAGTTCAACATGTTTAAGTATTATTACACATCAACTAGATATAATGTGTGGTCAAAAGAATGGTGTTCAGATAATTGTATTTACTTCCCACATTTCTATAAAACATTGAAATTGGGAGAAACACTAACTAGAGAAGAGCTGAAAGTTTTTGAGCAAGTATCTTTGTGTTAGGGTATCAGATCCTTTGGGTATATACCAATTTTTGTGTCTGAGAATTCTCCTCACTGATTTCCATAGTGACTACACAAGTAAGCATGTTTAAAGTGTACTGTACTGTGATTTATTTTTTCTTTTCATACTTTATTTGTCCTTTTGTGTGTGATTCATTTTATTTATTGCATTTTTGGTTGTCTTTCTTTGAGAAAATTCTTCCATATTGAAGGTACTCCTATTTACTTGAAGACCATCTCATGTTGATATATATTATTTTGTATTTATTGGATAAACATTCTGTTAACTGATTTTT